TCGCAGTTTTTCGTTGTTCTATTCAAGTTTTCTATTCAGTTCTTCGTAAAGTTCGTTGGTTGTTAGTATTCTTGTTTCGTTGTCCTATTTTATGTTTTGTTATCTTATTTCTTGTTCGTGTTTGGTTACAAAATGCCGGGCAAACCTTTGGGTTCCCGTGCCCAGGACATGGTGTCCAACTTTATAGAGCTCTCGAGAAGGAAAACGGTGGTCTTTTAATCTCATTAAATGCTACAGAACAAGTAAGAAAAGACAACTCGAAGGTTCATAGTTAGTAATTTCGCTGAAATTTTTAGCGATATGCAGATGCTACATGCGTTACTCGCCGAACGGTTTCGAAGATTAAAACTCGAAAAAAAGACTGGGTCCAATCAGAAAACACCGAAAGCAAAAGACCTGCTTGAGCCTATACATTTGTGTCATGTTGACGTTGTGAACATTGTCATCTTTTTGACTAATTACTACAAATTATTAAAATATTAGTTCGGACATTAGCTTTTGGTCACGTGTGTAAAAAGATACATGAATCCAACTATACTATTATATAACACCGTTATAGTATAATTGTAGTACATAAGTATAACAGTATTATATAACACTGATCGTAACGTTATGTTGAATGAAAGTTATAAAAAAATATTATTATACTACATAACGTTATGTTAATAATAGTGTAAAAGTGGTAATTTGATACCACTATAATCATTGTTTAGATCCAAAATAGTTTTTTATTGTCTGTTTCTTTGGGACATGTGGACACCAAAAAAGATAGATATGTTCTATGTCATAGAACACAAAAGAACACAAAATCTACTTTCTTCATATAGAATCCGAAACGCGTGTTGCATCACACAATAATAGTATATTAAAGAACGAGTTTCATAAGGCAAATATTGAGGCACGAATCCAAGTTTATAGAACGAGCGGCGAAAACGCGACTTATATAAAGGATGAGTGCCACAATGGCCGGGCACGTTTTTTCGCAAAATTTAATTCAAATTTGCGTTTTTTTTTAAATCTGAGCAATTTTGTCGTGGTTGGTGATGGGTCGGTCTGATACTAACCACGAAATATTTGAGGTTCGAATTTTCACAACAACAACTGTAATTCGAATCAATTCGAGTTTTTGTAAGTTAAAATTGGTTAAAATGTCTTGTGAAGAAGTTAGTGAAGTCCTTACACCTCCGGAAATACGGGAAATTTTTATTTGACATTTGCCACTGACATTCACTTGACATTTCTCGTCATGGCTACCAATTTTACCGATCTAAATTACACCAGATCTATTAAAGAATGCCTTTCCGCTATTAACGAACTGCTGTGCTCTATTAGTTCTATTAGAAAACCAAAAAACGTGCGCGGTAGAAAAATATTTTAAACTGAGCAAGTAGTTTTCTTAATATAGACGTGAAATATAAAAAACGATTAATATTACCCTCGTCCATTATATGTTTTCACTTAGATTATTATCTGAAACAGAAAATAAAAAACAATGAAAAATTAATTAAAAATTCGGTACTTTAGACTATCTAAAAGGATGTAAAATTGAAGTTGCTTAATAAGGTGTAAGTGAGAACAATAAACCTTACTGGTGATATAAAGAATAAAAAGAAGTTATACAAGAAAAATTTAAACTCTATTTAAGAAGAATAAGTGCCTGAAATAGAAACAGAAATAATAAGGGACCTGAATTGCAAAAAAATGGGGTTTTCTCAAAAATTTAATGAGAAACAAAAACAGAGATAAAATAGAAATATAATAACAATAATATAACCACAAGATTAGTATTCAAAGTATTTAAAAAAACTGTTGGTTGAAGACAGAAAAAAATACAGAGAAATAAAGTACCAATTAGAGTAGCAGGGCCACCGATCGGACTGACCGTGCAAGAAATCAAAAAGTTTTAAAAAATAGACCTGATAAAGAATACCAAGAATAAGTAGGCTTCCCCACGGGGACATGTATAATATACGAAGATATTTATTTATTATTTGTGGATTTAAAAAAACATACGACAGGAACAAGATTTTGGCAAAGACTAGAAAAAACAACGTTAACGTAGAAATAATAAAGTTGTCATAACACTGAATAACCAACACAACGAAAATTAAAACAAGAAAACTAATAACACTAGAATTCGTTGAAGTTCTTAAATAAACAAGAACTTTGCCTATCCCAAATTCTGTTCAAAATATATCTCGAAACTAAACACCTGGAAACAAAAATGTAAAATAATGAAAATAACTTTAATTCCTTTTATTTTCTAATTAATTATTAGCATACAAATTTTCTAGTCTTTTGTACTTTATCATTAGTTCAAATTCTTTAGTTCTAAGTTTTAATGTTTAATAAATAGATTTTGTTTTGTTGTTAATTTTAAAAGTATTCATTTTTTTTAAATATTCGCTGGGCCACTGGTGATGTTTCCATTAGTGGAATGTTCCGTAGAGTTCGTTGAAAACCATAGTAACAAATGTGTAAACTCGCATTTTTATTGGTCCATTTTTTACAAATGGTAAGCGAATAGAATAGTCGTGTTTATGCAACCCAAAATACATTCTTACAAGATACTTCCCGAAATATTTGCATATCTTTTTTTGTAATCAAGGTTATCCAATTCCGGGAACCGTCAAATTGACTTCAGCTCTCAAAAAACCGGCATGATATCGATATTTGCTGTTGTTTTTATGTATTAAAATTTATTTATTTGAAAGTTTAATTTGCTATTTTAGTAATGACAATTATTTTTGACATATCTGACCAAATTGGTTAACTACTTAAATATAGAGGATGTCATGAACGTCGTGAACACAATTTTGCTTTCTACGTGGGCTTGAATTAACACCATGATATGATATGACAACATCCCGTAAATCTTTGAATCTTTTTGAAGTTTTTTTTTTTGTTAAACACTTCAGTTCAGGATTAATCAAATCCATAAATCCATTGATTTAAAATTTTTCACAATACAATTCTAATCCATTAATTTGATTACCAACGCAGGTACTAAAGTTTATTTTTAGCCAAAGCCACCTGTCTTTGATAAACTTCACAACAGACAACAGCAATCAAATCTCCAATTGTTTATATTTTAAAATCGCTTTATCGGGGTCCTTATTCATTTTATAGTAAACAGGTGCGTTATGACTTATGACCCTGTGGCTCTTGATGCTCATTATCTCCATATTTTGCACATGACAGAAACCTTTCATTGCAGGTGTCAGTATAATGATGACCAAAACCTCTCACTTAAAGCATGTGACAGTGTTTACGTGTCCATGTACCTACTTGACTTTCAAACGATTTCACAAAAATAATATCTAAGTAATTCTCCAATTTTTGACAATTTTGTTTTTTAAGCTCTTCTGTTATTTCTTTATGCAGACCTAAAGACATAATTATTAATTATTTAACAGTTGTTTCTAAGATTCGTCCGTTGTACAAGAGCATTATAATATAGATTAAACAAAGACAAATAGTACATATTCGTGAAATGTTTAGTGTTTAGTTAATAATTTAAAGCTATTTATTTGATTACGTCTATAGTCTGTCTGTGTCGATTAGACAGATAATCTCCGAAACTACCGGACCAACTGTTACCAAATTATATATGTATTCTAGGAATATCTTGTAGATGGTAAAATGCTAACCAGAATTTGTCTGGTCATCCCCACCGACAATTTGATGACGTAATCTCAAAATTGTGCAAGGTAAATGCTATTTATAAATTTTATAAAGTAACGTACATACTTGGTCAAGGGTCAAATTTAGGGCTTTTGTTATTTTTATTGATTATTAACGACGTTACTAACGAAGTTCTCTGTAGTAGACTTCTTTTTGCCCACGATTTTAAAACGTACATAAAACTAATAACACCATTGAAGAACGAAATTTATTTAAACAAGAATATTTTTGAATATTGTTATGTAACTGATGAATTTAGATTTTTGCACGAATGAACAATTTTAACGATTTAAGAGTCTACAAATTTTTATTTAATGGAAATATTTTTAACTTTGTTGCCAAATCCTTAAGCTTATGTGATTTTATATGTAGAAACTGTGACGAATGAACTAGAATTAATTCCAGAAGAAGTTTTACAGTTTATGCACCAACATGTGGATCTTATGTGTTAGTGAAAGTTTTTACATAAAACATGTGCAATTCGTTTAATATCATTTCTAATAATAATAATTGATTATTACAGTTAAAAATTTATGATACGAAATCACGAAGAAATAACTTAGAACAGTCAGTAATTTATTAAATACAGGTGTCTGTTTTTGCTAAAAATGTTTTCTTTAAAAAAGTAAAAGTATTGTTTTGCTTGTACATGTATTTACAAGTGAGTTCCTATTTGTTCACTTTTTAATTCGCCGTATTTGGATATTCGTTTTGGAAATCAAAATTGTTATTATTATTTTTCCTTTCTTACATAATTTATTAGCATACTTCGCTCTAAACGATGAATTGATAACTTTCCCCTGGAATAGGCTTTGACTTAATTCGAAATTTCGACAAAAAGCGTAACCTAAAAATCAAGCTGACCACTATTCAAAACCAACTCGACTTCGGTCTCTGCTGTGGCGAAGGTGTGGTCAATAAAACAAGAATAATAAAAACTACTTCAGCCCATGACTAAAAAACCCGAGATAATTGAGATACATAACTAAAAAATCGCGTTTTATTTTTAATACTAATCAATTAAAATCCGACTTATCTTGGACATCTACAGTATTGTGTTTTCGTGTGTAAAATCTACTAAATCTTAATATAACCCTGACCGAAGTTTACCGAGTTTGATAGAAATATGTACACTTAAATTGATCCCAAGATTAGATACTATAAATTGTGTATGTTTTTGGCAAACATTTTCAAACTGATTAAACCAACAATACTGATAAAAATGACAGTTCCAGCGCTCTCATCGAGATGTTCCACTACAAATCTTTTTTGCTAAAATATTTATACTTCAGCGAAAATAAAGTCGAACATTTTTTTAATCATTTTATTTGCTATTTCTTACTACATAGACTATACACAGCTTTAATAGAATTTAGCATACTTATACAGATTTAATTACTACTACTTTTGCTACTTTAACCTACAGAGAAGGTACAAAGAGCATAGCGGTTGTCATATTAGAGTCCTTGCAGTTGAAAATCTTGTGGCCAGTGTAACAAAATAGATGCTAAAATCTCCAATAACAAATAATCTTCAATAGATTTTTCGAGGAACCTTTAATTTAAAGTACCTTTTCCTTAGTGACGGTCACGAAGTTATTCTCAAGAAACCTACAACCCACAATCAGCAACCCTCCCACACAAACATCCAACTTACCAATTCTTCTTAGCTTTCGAAGAGTTACTCACAACTTGGGCGACGAGGAGCGAAAGCAGCACAAGTTGAGCTGCGTTGAAAATGGAACCAGATTTCAACCCTGGAATGTAGTTAACGTCTGTCCTGAAAGAAGTGGCCATTCTTCTTTCTTCTGGAATTGATTGTCTCTTATCGGTGCGTGCGAAGTTGTTGTTTTCATCTTTGGAAGACAAAGTTAAAATGCGACGAGTTGCATCGCTGCTGCGACGATCGTCTTCGCGGGTGAGACGCCTTTCCAAGACACGGATGTCCCGTAAATCTGAAACACGATCGGAGGAAAGCGAGCGAACTTCACGTCGTCTGTCAGAGTCGACGGGAGTTGATCGGTCTCGTTTTTCAGTTAAAACTCGGCCGGAGTCTCGGGATCTATCGAGCGAAGCGAGCTTTCGGTCCAGAGAAGTGGATCGAATTTGTCTTCGAATTTGTGCTGTTCTATCACCAAGTTGACGAGACATTCTTTCATTTTCTCGTCTTTCGTTGGAAACCCGACGTTCAATATCGTCAACGGTTCTTGATCTTTGTTGACGCCTGTCGGTCAGTTGACGGAAACTTTGGTCATTTTCTCGTCTAGAAGTTGATCGAACTTCACGCCTTCTGTCGTCGGGAGAGGTAGAGAATTGGCGAGATCGGAGCATGTTTCTAGACCTGTCAACTTCTCGTCTTTCCAGTTGACGGTGTTCTCGAGATTCTTCTCGTGAAAGTAAGGATCGTCGGTCCAGAGAAATTGCACGAACTTCTCGTCTTCTATCGTTGTCAAGTTGACGAGACATTCTTTCATTTTCTCGTCTTTCGTTGGAAACCCGACGATCAATATTGTCAACGGTTCTAGATCTTTCTTGACGCCTGTCGTCCAGTTGACGAGAACTTTGGTCATTTTCTCGTCTCGAAATTGATCGAACTTCACGCCTTCTGTCGTCGGGAGAGCTAGAGAACTGGCGAGATCGAAGCATGTTTCTAGATCTGTCAACTTCTTGCCTTTCCAGTTGACGGTGTTCTCGAGATTCTTCTCGTGAAAGTGAGGCTCGTCGGTCCGGAGAAATTGCACGAACTTCTCGTCTTCTATCGTTGTCAAGTTGACGAGACATTCTTTCATTTTCTCGTCTTTCGTTGGAAACCCGACGATCAATATTGTCAACGGTTCTAGATCTTTCTTGACGCCTGTCGTCCAGTTGACGAGAACTTTGGTCATTTTCTCGTCTCGAAATTGATCGAACTTCACGCCTTCTGTCGTTGGGAGAGCTAGAGAATTGACGAGATCGCAACATGTTTCTAGACCTGTCAACTTCTCGCCTTTCCTGTTGACGGTGTTCTCGAGATTCTTCTCGGGAAAGTGAGGCTCGTCGGTCCAGAGAAACTGCACGAACTTCTCGTCTTTTATCGTTGTCAAGTTGACGCGACATTCTTTCATTTTCGCGTCTTTCGTTGGAAACCCGACGTTCAATATTATCAACGATTCTAGATCTTTCTTGACGCCTGTCGTCCAGTTGACGGGAACTTTGGTCATTTTCTCGTCTAGAAGTTGAGCGAATCTCACGCCTTCTGTCGTCTGGAGAGCTAGAGAACTGGCGAGATCGAAGCATGTTTCTAGATCTGTCAACTTCTTGCCTTTCCAGTTGACGGTGTTCTCGAGATTCTTCTCGTGAAAGTGAGGCTCGTCGGTCCAGAGAAATTGCACGAACTTCTCGTCTTCTGTCGTTGTCAAGTTGACGCGACAATTTTTCATTTTCGCGTCTTTCGTTGGAAAGTCGACGTTCAATATTGTCAACGGTTCTAGATGTTTCTTGACGCCTGTCGTCTAGTTGACGAGAACTTTGGTCATTTTCTCGTCTAGAAGTTGATCGAACTTCACGCCTTCTGTCGTCGGGAGAGGTAGAGAATTGGCGAGATCGAAGCATGTTTCTAGACCTATCAACTTCTCGTCTTTCCAGTTGACGGTGTTCTCGAGATTCTTCTCGTGAAAGTGAGGCTCGTCGGTCCAGAGAAATTGCACGAACTTCTCGTCTTCTGTCGTCAAGTTGACGCGACATTTTTTCATTTTCGCGTCTTTCGTTGGAAACCCGACGTTCAATATTGTCAACAGTTCTTGATCTTTCTTGACGCCGGTCGTTCAGTTGACGAGAATTTTGGTCATTTTCTCGTGGAGAAGTTGATCGAACTTCGCGCCTCCTGTCACTGACTGAGTCTGAAACGCGCTCGTTGTCGACGAATCTTGATCTGTCTGAGCCAACGGATCGAACGTCTCGCCTGGTTAGTTGACGAGATTCTCGATCATTTTCTCGAACTTCTCGTCGCTCCGTCGCAACGCGCCTGTTAAGTTGACGATTTTCTCGATCGTTTTGAGTGGTAGCAAGTTGACGCCTGGAATAGGTGTTGTCGGATGACGATGATCTAACTTCTCGTCTGCTAAGTTGTCGAGATTCTTTATCTTCTCGTCGTTCTACTAGAACCCGTCTGTTGACTTGGCGAGATTCACGATCACTGTCAGTGTCTCGTTCAACGTTCCGGGCTGACCTGATTCGTCGACCCGAGTCGTTTCTTCGGTCTTCCAGTGATCTGATTTCTCGTTCGTTGTTTCTGGTAGTGGAAGCACGCCGATCATTCTCTTCAATTCTGGTTTCTCTTCTTTGTTCAAAGTTGTTTCTAAAGTCTCTTTCGTCTTCTCGGACATCAGAAACACGGCGATCATTTTCCCCGGAAAGGCGGTCTCGGATTTGACGAAAATCGTTCACCCGAAGTCGGTTGGATCTTGATGGAATTGAACGAATTTCTCGTCGTCTGTCAGTCACACCATCGACTCTCATCCGGTCGAAGGAAATGACCCGAGCGTCTCGTCTTTCACTAGAAACTCGCCTGTCAATCGAGTTGCTAAGACGAGACTCCCTGTCATTCTCCTTCCCAGACGAGAACCTCTGGTTTCGTATCACCCTGTCGTCTCCTTGACGAGAATTCTCTTGAGGGAGCAGTCTGAAAAGTCTATTATTCGAGGTATTGTCGCGAACGTCTCTTCTTTCGTCCGACGTTGCGTAAGATCGTTGCCAAGTGCTTCCAAAAAAATTTCGGTCGTTGACGTCATTTTTGCGAACGCCGGTTTGGCGTTCCCGTATGGAGTTTCGGTTCGTTTCGAGAAAGCCATGAGTCGAAGTTAAACATAATAGGAATAGTAGCAGAGCTGAATAACCCGTCGTTTTCAACTGTTTCATGTTGGAAGAAAACAAAACACTATTTTTCGTTGCACTGGTGACGTGTATAGTTAGTTCAGTTTTTAAAAGATGCTTTTAGTAACGAATGCTTTGACTTTCTGAGGAGACAACGGAGCTGGAGAGCTTTTATACTGTTTTAGGGGGGTGGTTATTTCACGCTGGGATGAACTCGTTTGAAACCAATCAGGTGGTGGCGGATCGTATTGCTATAATTCAATTTCGACCCAATTTGTTTGATGCAACGAGCTACACTGTTACGAACGGGAGAGGTTTGAAGAGAATTATAAAGTATATTAATGAGTGTTGGATCAAGAATTTTTCCAATTATTTAATATTGAAAATATTTAGTCATTAGGGGCAATTCTGAATCAAAGTTGTTAAATTTAAAGGGTGTTAAATTGCAAATTTCCATAGTAACGAGTTAAATTCGTAAATCTTTAATTGTTTCTTTTTTAACAACCTTTAAATTTTAACAGGTTTGATTCAGAATTGGGCCTATAAACTACAAATGATCCAATGTATAGACAAAAAATTATTTCACCTTTACTTGTAGAAATTAACAAATGTTGAGCTTTTTTTGTAACTCAAAAAAATACTAGAACTTTGAGATTATGAAATATGAAGGTATTTCACTAATTACATTGCATATTTAAGATTGTTTTGCATATTTTTACAAATCCTTGCATGTTTCAGTTTTTGAAAAATTAAAATTAATAAACATAAATTTCTAGTAAAATTTTGGAAAGTACAAAAATATAACTTATGTTATTAGAAAGAAATTTTTCGAAACTTTAGGAGTTACTAGATAATTTGAGCAATTTTAGCATTCTTCTAACAAAAATCTATTCTAATTTAATAAAAATTTTAAGCTTTACCTCAGAGCTTTCCTAATATTATCTAACACAACATTTGGAAATTTGATGCTTATTTAATCAATGCAAAGTTGTATCTAATTTTTGTGCAATTTTAGGAACATGGTTACATAATGGGTGCGTAGCAGAATTAACAGTAGTTCATTATAAAAAATAAAAAAAACATAAATTGATATTATAAAGGACTTCAAATTTTGAAATTGACAAATTTAGATTGCTTAGGCGAATTTTCAGATTGTATTTGTTGTAAATACATCTTACTTCAAACCTTTTTTGTGTTTTTACTTCTCGTGTGTAAGATAAAGAAGATAAAATACGAAAAAATACATCTTCAGTTTCCGTTGGTCTGTCTGTTTGTTTGTCTATCTGTCCGTCTGGACAGGAAGATTATGAAAACTAAAAATTTATTTCAATGAGCTATTTTGGAAAAATGCTAGGAGTTTTGGAAGAAATTAAGCAGAAAATAACTTCTATTGAATTCTGTCTTTATGTACTTAATATGTGTAGGATTATTTCACAACATGAAACCTAAAACATGTTTAAAATGGAAAATTTATATACTTAAAGAATTATCGATTTTGCAAAAATATACCATTTTAGCCAAGTTTCTTGTTGTGAAAAGATGACAATGTACATTAAGAAGAAAAACAAAAACAAAAGCCCCGCCCACCCGCCTTATCTCAATTTTGTAATTCCAAATTGATATTTCACTATACAATTTATCGTTTTAAACACTTTTTAACTTTCTTATTGTGAAAAGATGACTACACATATTAAGAAAAAAAGGCAAACAGTAAGCCCCGCCCACCCGCCCTATCTCAATTCTGATGATTTTTTTATTCGTCGTGACCCACGGAGGAGGAGCTTAATTGCAACATCCTTATTTCTCTACATGAAATAAAAAACATGCTTTTGAGCATGGTGTTGTTCAACGAATACCATGTATGTTATAAATAGTAATGAAGTTACAAGTCACAATTGAGATAGGGCGGGTGGGCGGGCTTACTTTTTGCCTTTTCCCTTTTTGCTTTAATATATGTAGAATTCTTTTGACAACATGAACTTAAAGCATGTTTAAAATGGAAAATTTGTATAAAGAATTGTCGATTTTGCAATTAGGCTCCGCCCCATAATTGCAAAATCCATATTTCCTTGCAAAAATATACCATTTTAAAATGTTTTAAGTTTCTCTTGTGAAATGATGACTATGTACATAAAGAAAAAAAAAAGGCAAAATATAAGCCCCGCCCACCCGCCCTATCTCAATTCTGATGATTTTTTTATTCGTCGTGACTCAAGAAGGTGGAGCTTAATTGCAAAATCCTTATTTCTCTACAAGAAATAACAAATATGCTTTTGAGCATCGTGTCATTCAAAAAATCTGTGTATATTAAGAAAAAATTAAAGGCAAAGATTAAGCCCCACCCATACCTGCTCTGATCTAAATAATAACGAAGTTTTCATTCGTTGGTAGACCTAGGGACGGAGCCTAATTGCAAAATCCATATTTTTTTTACAAAAATTTACCATTTTAAACGCGTTTTAAGTTTCTAAAAATAAAAAAAAATCATCACAATAGAGAGAGGGTGAGTGGGCGGGGTTTATCTTTTGACTTGTTGACTTAATATACATAGTATTCTTTGAACAACACGATATTCAAAAACATGTTTTTAATTTCTTGTAAAGAAATAAGTATTGTGCAGTTAAACTCCGCCCTCTTGGCTCACAGCGAACAAAAAAAAATCATCACAATTGAGACAGAGCGGGTGGGTGGGCTTACATTCTGCTTTTTGTTTTAATATATGTAGAATTCTTTTCACAACATGAAACTTAAAACATGTTTAAAATGGAAAATTTGTATAAAGAATTATCAATTTTGCAATTAGGCTCCGCCCCATTATTGCAAAATCCATATTTCTTTACAAAAATGTACCATTTTAAACGCGTTTTAAGTATCTAAAAATAAAAAAAATCATTACAATAGAGAGAGGGTCGGTGGGCGGGCTTACATTTTGCCTTTTTGTTTTAAGTAATTCAATGGTCGAAATATTTTTATTAAAAATTGAACTTTTGAAAAAGTTGTCTAGAAGTCCACAAAAAAGTCTGGGACATGTAGATCTCTGCGCACTATTTCGAAAAATACAGGGTGTTTATGGCAATCTATCTTTATACAATTTTCAAAAGTCAAAATTTTTATAAAAAATTGAACTTTTTTTACAAGTAGTTATTCGATTTGACAATTTTTTTGTTAATTTCATAGGGCGATTCTGAAAAAATGGTAAGAATTTTTGAAGAAACGACGCCAAAAATAACTTCCAGAGGTTAAAATCTATCCACAAAAAATTCAGCAATGTAGATCTCGACGTGTTGATTGGAAAAATATAGCGTGTTTATGGGCCACCACTTTAGAACTATTCGGTTTGAAAATCAACTGTTTTCAAAAATCGTTAAAATTGTCAGCGGTTCTGGAAAAATCGTAGCAGGTTTGGAAGAAATGGGGCCGAATGTAGACGAAATTCACAGAAATATCACTTTTGGCAATTCTGAAGGTGCTTCAAAGAAGGTCGAAATTTTCATAGATAAGTGAAAAATTGAGTGATAATGAAGATTACAGTAAAGTCGTGTCCGCCTATATTTAATAAAAATCAAATAATAATTATCATAATGACAACTACTCACCCAAAATAATATTCCCCTCTATTTGGAGGGGACAAAATAAGTCAAATTTCATTTTTTTCACACCAGTGCCGTCACTGATGCTTGCTATCTGAACGTGCTAATAGTCAAATTTTTCTAAGTATAAACATAAACAGTCGAAGTTAAGCGTGTACTGAGAAATTGAGAGTAGATTTTTCCCGTTGATTATCTGCTTTAAATATATTTCATATATAGTACCTGTGCGGATACTCTACTTTATTTAATTTTATTTTTATTCCGCTCCTAGTTTCAACCAAACGTCGTCAACAACCATTACTACTAAATTATTTATGTTGCTTGAAAAATAGTCAATATTTTTAGGGTGTTAAATATTGGACACTTTCTTTGTGAAAAATCGTATTCAGTGAAGTAAGTTTGTAAAGACAAGCGAGGACATTTTACGCTGAATTGTATTAGTTAAAAAAAACTAAGAAAAGTTATCTCATAATTCAAATATAAAATGGTTCCGTGATAATTACAAAGTGATAAGCTGATAAGTACCAAATGTTTGATTTGCTAACAACGCTAAAAAGTGCTATACATACTAATATAATATGTCATAATAAAATTTTTCGACCAAGGAAATATAGACGATTACGTTCTAAGAGTTGCTACAAGAAATACATCATTTAAATGCTCCAGTTAAAAAATTGAAAAATTGAGCACTTTCAAAAGTACCGATAGTATTGAGTCTATTTATATAATTGGTTCAAATTTACAAAAGAAAAACAAATCGGGGACGGCAGACAGACCCAGAGACAGATGGACAGATAGACAGAAGAACAGACAGAAAACAGACAAACAGACGGAAATGGGAGACCTATTTCTTCGCATTCTAGGGATCATGAAATGTAGAAAAAAGTAAAGCGCTTACGCTCAGGAAGTAAAAACAGGCAACTTCACATTTTCTGTTAATATATCCAACCCTAAATCTAATAATAAACTAGAACTACTTATCGGCTGTTCCTTAAGAGGAGTGTAAAATCTGTTTGTAAACCTATAAATTAACAGATTTATTACAATCAATGCCCACGTTTAAAAGCACAAAGCTATTTTTTTTTTCAAAAATTTAAATATTGATGATTCGAGAAATCTGATATTTTTCAAAAAATTTTTATTATCATAATATAAATAAAATTACCACTACTGAACTAAAGTCTCTTAATATAAAAAAATGCCACTATTCTATTCTTTTTTTACAGATACATCAACTACAGAATTTTCATATAATTCGTTCAAGTTTTAAAAATAACCTGAATTCCCTTAATAGGTCATTAAATCAGAGTAAAAACTTTGTATTGCAAATTTTCTTTGAACAACCATAAAAATTTTCGTCCCATTTGTTGTTTATAAAATCATTTGCAATAATTATCTGTACCATAATTGCCATATTTCATCGATTTCACAAAATTGCACCACACCTACCGGAATTTATTTTCCAGTGTATCGCAACCACCTCATACAAGCCCTGAAAACGTGCAGAGTGTGCCACAGCTGATAAGACCTGTTTATTATTAAACCCAAAGTGTCTCATCTGTTCCATTCGCAATCTATTAAAGCTTTTAAGGGGTGCGTAGGAGTGACAATTTGCCACTACATCAAACAAATTTATATAAAATCCATTTATTAAAAAAGTACAAAAACAATAAATTAACCTTAAAACTAGAAAAAACCGCTCACGCCGAAGGCAAATCGTCCACATGAATTTTAATAAACTCTTTGTAAAAACCAGTTTTGGTGAAAATCGCAGGAACACTGTCATCCAAACAAGTCGAAGGCAGCCATGAAAGCAGACCAATTAGTCGACCGTCTTGGACTAGAGGACTTCCACCGTCTAATATACAGGGTGATGCCGTTCCTGTGACGCAGACGTGCATGTTTTCGTTTATGGGTAGATTGTTACCATATACAGAGTGCATTGTTTTGTGGCAATCTAGAAAAAAACAAACGTCAATTTGTACAGTCGATTAAAAATTAGTTGAGTTTACCATCGAATGGTACTATCGTCATGTTGCCTGTCTGCAGTTGTGAAGTAATACTGCTACTATCTTCTGTGCCCCAGCCAGCGAAAAGGGTCATTTCGTCTAGAGCATAGCACGGAACTTTTGACACTGGAAGAGGTTGCACGAACTCGTTAAATTCGAACGGTTCAGTCATCTTCAGCAACGCGATGTCGTTGGTGATGTCATTACTGAAAAGAATAGTCAAAACGTGTCAAAACTATACACCGGGTGTTACTCACCTATAGCTTGGGTGTTTTACCACACTGTACAAATCGATGTTTCTAATTTGTACAGCTGTGTTGTTCGTGTCCGTTAAGTTCAAAGCACCGGCAACAACCCTTGATACTATGAGTGAAACTCCGGCGCAATGGGCCGCCGTTATGACCCATTGTGGGCTAAGAATGGTCCCTCCACATCTGTGGTGTTCGCCGTTGATTCCCGACTGGATGGACACTAAGTAAGGGTAACGATGGACCAAGACGTCATCTCCGTTGATGACATCTACCGATCTAGGGTAGCCTAAAATTTCGGTTTTATTTTTGAAAAATTTCAAATTTTGTGTACTTACCGCTGCAGGTGTTGAAGAACAGGAAGATTGTTGCTACAATTAGTGATTTCATTTTGATTCTGATTTGGTGGATCAAGAAGATGCGTTTTTATATAGTGATTGGAGGTCTGTGCGTCACTAATTGGTTTGTACTTAAATGAGATAAATTAGGGTACTTGAAGATTGTTTATGTAATATGTTTAGTGTTTATTTTTGTAGACGGTTTTTGTATATTTTCTAATTCGTGTGATAAGAGATGACTGTTTAGCTTTTGGAGTGTCTTTTTTTGTGGTGGTTTATGGATTGGTGGTTTGCTGCAGGTCGTGAGTACTTGTTAAAAACAGATGATGTACTGGTTTTATCTAATCGGGGATCTTAAGTGCTTAGTGCAAATGTACTGATTTGGACTTAAGTCGATACGTAACATTGCCAAAATTGTGACATAACATGTGTAAAAATAGTTGATAGATTGCCGATAAAAGTCAATACCATAGATCAGCGATTCTCAACCTTTTAGTCTTCACGACCCATTTACCAATAACAGTTTTTATCGCGCCCCCCCTCAAAAATTTGTTCAAAAATTTTGGGAGCAAAAAGCATGAAACCTAATAAACTTAAACGCCACTTGGAAACGCTTTATAGTGAATTTGTTATTAAACCTCGACAAATTTTCGAATTAAAATTGAAATCATTTGAAAAGCAAAAAAAATCTTTGTAAACGAAAAAGCTTTACTTGGATCGTACAAAGTTTCATATCGCGATATGTAAAAAGCCGTATACCACTGGCGAAGAACTTATTCTACCACCTGCAACTGAAATTGTAGAAACTATGTTTGGAGATAATTTTACCAAACAATTAAAGTTTGTACCTCTATCAAATGACACTGTTGCGCGTCGAATTGGTGATATAGCTAACGATGTACAGCATCAGCTTTTTGAGAAATTGCATGATAAATTATTTTCAATTCAGCTTGATTAGGCAACAGATAACATTAAAGATGCTCATTTAATCGCCCATGTTCGATTTTGTGCTGGTGCTCAGCAGTAGAAGAACTGCTTTTCTGAAAACCAACAGAACTCAAAGCAACAGCACTTACATTATTTGCTACTTTAAATGATTTTCTAAACCAAGGAAACATAGAATGGAAAAATTGCGTCGGAATATGCACCGATGGTGCTCGTGCAATGTCTGGAAATTTCCAAAGTACCTATGCAAATACTTGTGAAACAAAAATCTCCACAGTGGATGTGGACGCATTGCATGATCCATAGAGAAGCTTTGGCTTCCAAGGAAATGAGTCCTGGTTTAAATATTGTACTAACGACGGTTCTGACAGCAGTAAATTATATAAAAATGAGATCCTTAAAAACCAGAATATTTTCTGAACTTTACAAAGACATGGGTGCGGTACACTCATCGCTATTTTTTTATTGCGGGATAAGATGGTTATCACGTGGTAGATTTTCGCAACGTGTTTATGAATTAAGAGAGGAAATCGCCATTGATTTAGTAGAGGAACACAGACCGGAAGTCGAGAAGTTTCGAGATTATTAATTTGTTATGAAATTGAGCTACTTGGTCGATATTTTGGAGAAATTAAATATTTTGAATCTTCAACTCCAAAGAGCACACATACATATGTTGGATACTAGTGATAAAGTGACTGCTTTTTGTAGAAAATTGGAATTGTGGAACAGAAATGTAAAGCAAAAAACCTAGAAATGTTTCCAAACGTGGATGAATGTGTTAAAACTTACAAGGTTGAAGAAAAACTCATCTGAAAGTTGTTTTTGTAACCATTTAAAATCATCTAGCCATGCTGGTAAAGAATTTTACAAAGTATTTTTTTGCTGATGAGAATTTGCTAGCAGGTTACGATTGGGTTAGGAATCCATTTCAAAACACTCCTGACAGCCTTTCAACTGCTGCAGAAGAAATGTTCATAGACTTCCCGGCAAGCGGCGAAATCAAAAGATAATTTATTAACAAACCACTCTTCGAATTTTGGGCAAGCTTGGATAATGAGTTCTCTGCGCTGAAAACAAGAGCGCTACGTTTACTATTACCATTTTCAACATCCTACGTTTGTGAAGCTGGATTTTCTACGATGGCTGCATTGAAGACAAAATATAGATCTCGGTTGAATGTAGAGAAAGAACTTAGAGTGTCAATCTCAAATTTTTGTTGCGGCTAAACAGGCTCAAGGGAGTCACTAATGATTTTCATTATTGCTGCATTTTTATTTAATTATTCAGACTGAATTTTATTTACTTTTTTAACAATATATTTAATTTTTTGTAGTCATATATTTATTATTTTTTTAAATATACTTTATTTTTTTCTAAAAAATATATTTTCTTATTTCCTCGCGCCCCCCTCTAATGTTGTCGCGCCCCCCTAGGGGGGCGCGCCCCACAGATTGAGAATCGCAGCCATAGATCAATACTTATGTCAATCATCCTGAATTTAAGGCATCAAATGTCATACATTTTTACACAAGGTAATGGTATATGGCATCTGAGGACTCATTAATTCACTGTGTAGTGTTATTACTTATTATCAATTAACCGGGTATTGATAAACTGAACCTAGTGACACAGTTTGCGATAGTACATTCAGTTCAGATGTACCTCTCATTCGTTCAATAAACATCAAGAATTGTCAATATTTACCCACTATAGTGTTTTGTCAATAAAAGTAAGATAAATGTACCAGGACAACTGAACTAAACGAATATTAAAACGGATTGAGTATGTGGTCTCTGTTTATATTTTTAGCAAACGTATAGAGTGTACAAAACTACCATACATTTTTAAAGTTACCACCCAGCAACCATTTGACATGTTCAGTAATATCTGAGCTGATTATTGTCCATTTCTATTTAAAATCAGTTCTTGAGATTGTCCAAATTGTTGAATTCTGTTAATGTAGATCTTCTGTTAAAGGATCCACGTCGCCCTATCCACCTTCCCTCGAAAATATTGTCAATAATACTATATTAAAATGCGGAGGTACACTATCGACTATCTACTGCTCCGTTTAAAGTAAAGGTAGCTTTATCAGAAAGAAGAAAGTATTATCAGAAAACTGAGCGTCATTTTGAAAAATAAAATTGACCCGTTGGGAGATTTTTGAAGAAAATGTTAATTAACGGAATTATGAGTTTCCTGAGAAACTTTATCAACAGTCTGTATAGATTTTACTAGGTAAACATTCTGAATGGAGAATATTTTCGAATATTTTTAAACTTCGTAAGTATTTTTTAATTTTTGGCTCTTTTCCGTCTTTTTTTGTGCCGTTTTTGTGTCGCTTCTAATTTTACCTGCCTTTTTGACCTTTTTTGTATCGCCCTTTTTTATACAGTTTTTGTTGTCATTGTTTTGGCGTCTTCTTTTCCGTCTTTTTCCCTACAAAATGGAAAGAATGTAATAAGATGTGTTCTATCTTGAAGTCCGATGATGCATCTAAATCAGTCTTATCTTAACAAGTACTAGCCCCGCCCACCCGCCCTTTAATTTTCTTAGAAGATATGTCATTTTTCAAAATCAGTGTCATTCTGGCAAGGACTAGATTAGCCCACCCACCCTTCATTTTCTTAGAGGAGACGCCATTTGGCAATATCAGTTTTGTCTTAGCAAGTACTAGCTCCGCCCACCCCTCCTGTATTTTCTTAGAGAGTAGGTCATTTCCCAAAATCAGTCTTATTTTAGCAAATACTAGTATTGTTTAATACATTAATATTATGCTAAAGTAATGCACGAAATTCCCATCCTCTTTTGACATTTACGTCAAATTTGTAAAAGTTATGATGTCATCAATGATTTTTATAAATAGGAAGGTATAATTTATTTTGATTGCACTATTTGATAAAGCTTATTTTCTACATATCAAAATGTCGCTTGATGCATTGGTTGCATAACAAAAAACTTGATCGAAGGTTATTTCGACACGACTTCCCTCGCCGCTGAAGTAGAGTGCAACAAATCCAGTTACTTTGAAAATAAAAAAAAAAGATTTTCCGAACATTTATTGATATTATTGGTGATAACTTCCATACGTTAAAACAAATATAATAGGTAAGAATACCAGTAATAGTGTAACAAGCAAATGACATCGGATAAATGAGTTTTGACATTCTATATTTTTTTTTGTCTAAGATCCTCAACTTTTTTTTAATGATGCTCTATACATTTTTTTTCTTCAGATTTTTGTAGAACTTAATGTTCTGAATTCATTAATGTATTATACTTTAATTACCAATACCATGCTCCTTCACATTCGAGCGCATTATTTTACGAAAACACACTTGTTTATATTTCGTCTGGATTGACCAAGACTGGAAACGGATTAACAATTGCTCCAAAACGTGAATGGGTTGATAAAGGTAGAGTCTATAATAGGTGCAATTCTGTAAACATTTGTAAAAATTTAAAGGGTGTTAAATTGCAAATTTCCACAGTAAGGAGTTAAATTCGTAAATCTGATTGGCTGTTTATTTTTACCGACTTTTAATTTTAACACATTTTGATATACAATTGGGCGTATTATGCCTGTATAGGCGATTTTCCCATTTGAAAATGCTTTGATCATCTTTATTTCAGCAAGAACACGTATGTCTATTCCGGCATGCAGTAACATTAATTATAAAACACTGAAGTGTACCATTCTTGAGCTCTGATCGATAAAAAAAAAGTAATAGATAATAGCAGTAATAATAACATAAAAAGCAAAAAATTCTATGCGATATTTGAACTCCGTAAACCGTTTTCGCGGTACATGTTTGAAACCCAATACTCGACGTGATGGGCAATGTACCAACCTTCCAAAGTTCCAAGCACTCCGCCTATACTAGTATAAACAGTTGCGATGTAATTTAGATTTTTTTGAGAAAATTTGGACGCTCTGGAGAAAATCTGAAGACGGATTCATAAAGAACAAGTAGAGGAACACATTATTTTATAAACTTTAAACTCTACTTACTATGAAAATTTTTGTGGGGTTGTAATCACATTGTTGGTGCGGATGATTAGAAAAATTTTGCTTAGTGTTTTACCATATACATGATAGTCCTAATATATGTACAAAATTTGGCAATAATCGGTTCAGTAGTTTCGGAGATTACGTGTCTAATAAAAATGGATAGACACCAGACGACAG